TTAGTAAGAAATTTCAAGCACAGGCACGTAAGATGCAGTACGAAGTGAAACTTGTTCATACCTTCATTTTTGAGAAATAATTAGTGGGCCATGTCCAGCTTTCATGTGGAAGGAAATCTAACTTCCAGAGCAATCAAGTCCACATGGAGAACTACATAACCTGGTAAAAATTCGAAAAAATTCTAAATTTTCGAAAAAGTTCGAAAAATGCCTTTGAAGATGGAATTGCCGCGTCCAATGAGTTTCTTGAAGCCTGTTGTCACGAGTTAATTTCAGAAGTTTCTGCCAGCTGTGCCTTCTGGAGATAATTAAACACCGTGTTAGTAAGAAATTTCAAGCAAGTGCACTCCGCTTTTTCTCTAGTGAAAACAAACGAGGAATCGAGGAAACGAGGAACAAACGAGGTGGGAACAGTCAGGGCGACGATGGTCTATCAGTCGCGGGAATTAAATATTTGAGGATAGAGCTCAACGAAGCGCAACATTACAGCCGCCGGTGCAATATTGAGGTGCAAGGACTTCCTTTCGTTCGCGGCGAAGACTTGATGGAGGTCAGGAAGGATCTTTTGATAAAGCTCGCTATTCCATCTTTTCAATCGTCAGACATCCCAATTATTCATCGCTTGGAAAAACAAAAAACAAAAAAACATGAGAGTGCTCGTACGGTTCTCGTAAGCTTCAATTCCGTTTCAATAAAGGGAGTCTAGATGGCGGCGCGTGGCAGCTTGCACAAGTTGTGCCAATCTGAAAAGAGGCCATGGTTGTACTTAGACGACAACCCAAACAGGAAGTTGTTTTGAATGGCTAGGTCTCAAGGCAAAGAAAGCGGCTATCGATTTGTGTGGCTAAAAAATGCAAAATGTTTGCGAGGAAAAGTGAGGGTTCACCTGCTGTGCGTATAAATGCAGCGAGAGACACTGAAAAACTAGTGTAGGAGGAGCATGAGTACGTGTGTTCCGATTTCGGATTGTAATTTATTTAATCAAATTTTGGGGCCAATAACTATCAACTCTTTAACGCTCATTCATGTGAAAATTAGAAGCTTAGGAAGCATTGGGCCGAGTTCTAAATTTCGGTGTGCAGTTTAAAACCTTCTGTTTCAAACTGCACAGTTTGACTGCGTTATAAACGAGATTGCTGTAACTTCCTTGCAATGTAATCAGTTCGCGTTAGACGGTTATAAAGATTTTTAAACAGGTGACAATAACGGAGGTAGTGGTACTGCAGTATGTATTCAAAATAAGTGGGAACCATCTAGTTATAGTGTTTCCTTTCCGCATGCAGAATCCACCGGCATAAAATTATTCCACTCTGACTTTTTTTGTTTTTGTTTTTTTGCTTGCAGTTTACAGACCTCCTTTCAAAAACGTATCTCGTTTTCTTGCGGAACTTGAGGTAGCCCTTGAGCAGTTACGGTCTGAAGGGCAACTTTGTTCGGTTGGAAGACTTCAATATCGATACGCTCAAACCCAGTAAATCTACCGTCTGTAACTACCTTACGCATCTGTCGGAGCATGAAATTGAAAATACAACTAGTCTGCCTCCAAAAGAGAAGATTTTGTCGTAAAAATTGGTAGTGTCTTGTTTGAATCATAGAAATACTAATACCACTGATATTTTGGTAAAATCTGATGTCATTGCTGAAAAAGCTTTCTGATCATTACTTTATCGGGTGTCATTTACAGCAGCGGGGTGCAGAACATAAAACTAACAAAAGCGGCTGCGTGCGGGAAACAGTCTGTTTCGCATGCCCACAGGCATCCGAAAAATGATATGTCTACTTGTGGAGCCGACATTTCACCCTTCGCACGGATCACCAAGCGCTTGTGTCACTGCTTTCCACTGGGGGAACAGGACATCGCCTGCTACGGATCACACGTTGGACCCATCGCCTGCTGAAGTACAACCTCACGGTGGGATACCAGCGAGGAACGGAGAATGGGGTAGCTGGTGCCCTGTCCCGCCTGCCCATGCTGACCAATGAGGGGGGAATGGACTTGGACGACGAGATCATCTCTGTCGTCGCTCTGGACGACGAGTGCATCACAAAACAACAGCTGCAACAGGAGACGGCGGATGACCCACTGCTCACCGCTGTCATGGGCTATGTAACCTCAGATTGGCCCCCATGGAACAGTTTATCTTCGGATGAGACCATTTTCTACGACCTGAAAGAGGCTCTCAGTCAACGACTGGCTCCTGCTTCGTGCTGACCAGTTCGTCATCCCTACAACTATGCGTCACGCGGTAATCTCACGAGCACATGAAGGACACACTGGCATTGTGAAGACGCAGGCAAGCCTTCGAGAGCTCTACTGGTGGCCCCGAATGAATGCAGAAGTACGCGCTGCGGTTTCCGCCTGCAAGGTCTGCAGTAGTTCGGACAAGACTGCCAAGACGTCGCTGACTCCCCTTCAGCTAGTGCCCTTGCCAGAGCGACCTTGGTCTAAGGTGGGCATTGACATTGTGGGTCCGTTTGAGCGGACGGAGCCAGCTTGTCGCTTCGTCATTACGCTCGTTGACTACTCTTCGAAGTGGCCAGAAGTCCAGTTCTGCCCAAATGTCACTACGGGAAGGGTGACGGATTTTCTGCGAGCCATCTTCGCCAGAGAAGGGTACCCAGACAGTATCGTAAGTGACAATGGGCCACAGTTTGTGTCGGCCGAATTCGAGAAGTTGCTTCAAGTTCGCGGTATACAGCACCACCTGGTTTCTGCTTACTACCTCAGTCCAACGGGCAGGTCGAACGCTTCAACCGTACACCGAAGGGCTTCCTTCAGTGTACCACCATTGAACGAAGCGCTCCGCTCCGCTCTTCACTCGTCGACTACTTGATGATATACCGCTGCACGTCCCATGCCACTACTGGGCTATCTCCTGCCCTCCTGCTGCACGGACGCAAGCCACGGACCCGGCTCAACATCCTCGGGCTGTCGTCGTCGCAGTTCCTGCAAAACCCTTTCGAGGAGCTGCAACGGCTGCGTCCACGAGTACAGCAGAGGCAGGAATACACCAAAAGGTACACAGACCAGCGTCGAGCAGCGAAGACCCCGAGATTTTGTGTTGGAGACTGGGTTCGAGTGAAGCGACCAGGAAAAGTCCCCAAAGGAGAGCCGACCTTTGGACCATCACAGCGCATCATAAAGCGCGGAGGTCGTTGGACGTTCCGATTGGAAGACGGTCGAGTAGGGAACGCCTCAAAACTCGCAGCAGCCCCGAAGACCAACCAACAAAGCCAGAGGCAAAACACATCGATTCCTGCTAAGAGCAGTCGGTTCTCGAAAGTTGCTGTTTCCCTTGCTAGCGTCAGCAACAGGCGCCATAACTAGCAGCCACAACAGCCTAGGTGGAACGGACAGCAACAAACTGGATCGCTAACGCCTGTGTGCAGTCCTGCCTTAGACTCACCTCCAAGAAAGGGGGTTTCGACCGCTCATCCTACGCCTATGCCTCTGAGGCGCTCCAGGCGTGATCGTCGGTCACCAGAGCACTATGGGAACTATGCCACACGATGAACTGAACTGCTTTTCTTTTCGTCATTTTGCTTCAAAATTAGTAACTTAATTTAGAAAAAAAAAAAACTAGTTGAAACTTTGTGTTGAACAGAACAGGGAGAATCTCGGTGATCGGAAGTAACTGCACAAAGCGGTGACTCATGTTTTCTGTTGTGCGTGTGTGTGTGTGTTTTGTGTTTCTTTATGTCTTTCTCTTTGTTCTTGGCATTTTTCGTTATTTTTTTAACCCCAAAAAATAGACGAGGGGAAGATGTTATGTGCTGATTCCTCTAGCTTACTCCCCTAATTAAAAAAAAAGACAAAGCAAATAAAGCGAATCAGAACATAACACACACCCTGCTCACTTTTACTACGATTATGCCGGACTAACTTTTATTACCAAGTTGTCTTGTTTGTTGAATTTTTTATTGAACCAATACTGTACGTCCACCCCTCTGAAAAGCCCCAGGACCCTGAAGGTATTTAAATAAATTAATAAATAAAATACTGATACATTTCTGCATGTTTAATTTTGCAATATTATTACTATTAATATTTTCTTATTCCTACAATGACACCAATTCCACTAGTCGTGTTGCAGTTTTTTTATTATCAGACCAAATTAATATTAGCAGGCGAACTTTAAAACAGGTATTAATTTCTTAACTTGTTGCGAGCCACTGGTCCAGACAAAATGTACCCAGATTTCCTAACGAACAGATTCGTACCATCGTGAGGTTGCGAAGATCGACATAATATTACCGCGTATTCTTATGACGCGTTAATAATGAGGGATACAGATATGTAAAAGCTTCTTCTCGTAACAGTTTCAAATATTATCTTTGTTCTATATTTAGCATAATCATGTTTATACCGTTCATTTATAGGCAAGTTGTGACTTGTCTTGTAAGATATTATGACCTTGTGAAAGAAATTATGCATGCGTTAGAAAGTGCTCCAAACAGGGACGGAGGTCTGCACATGGATGGATTAATTGATCATGCTGTATTTTTATAAGCTAGATACAACATCGCTACTGAGGCCTAGTCCTATGGTGTGGGAAAAAGTGTGCTAGTAATAAATTAATAGTGGGAACTTTATACAAAGACTATTTTAATCCCCATTTTGTATCCGCTCGGCCATTGTTCAATCACGTTTCGTTTTCTTTTTTCAGTCGACTCTTCACACGGAAATTTCCAAACCCCGTCAATTATGAATTCGTTGCAGCTGCGAATATTATTTGACAGTTCGCTTACCTCTTCCAGGAGACCACAGGACGTCGCACAAGGTTAAAGACGTTGAACGCCTGCGACATTCGCTGACCTTCTGTGCCAGGTCACCGAACCTGCGAAACAGCAGTAAAACATTTTTAATAAAAAAGGGCGTTTACTGGAGTGATGACGTCATACTTGATACGTGCTGCAGTTGTCGATGTACTATAAAAAGAGGTAGGGGCCCGACTTCGAAACCACTTGCTTCTTTCAGCACATCTGCAAAGATACTTCCCAATAGCCCGCCGACAATGCGTGCCGTAACCATGCTCATCGTTACTCTTCTTGTTCTGGAAAGGTAAGAGTTACAAGTTAAAGTGACAGTACATTGGAAGATATGAATATAAACCAAAGGACAGGGCTTGCCTAATAACTGCGTCTTTGGGTAAAGTGTCCCAAAGATACTGAATATTTAATCATAATTAAGGTTCCACGTTTTCGGTTTTTATTTTTCAAAATTCGGCGTAGTTTTTCGGTGTTTATTTTAAAATTCCATTTTCGTTTTTTTTTCGGTGTATATTTATTCCCAAAAAATTTTACCCTTTTTTTTTCGGTGAATGTGAAAGCAACGTCATTGGACACCGGATCAGATGATCCTTGTAGCTGGGATATTTGTGATCACTCAAAGAATAACGACAGGTATACATACGTGGTCTTCGCTACAACTTCCGCGAAGACACACTTCGAAATCTCGGAATTCGCGGGCATAATCTTCAGCGCGCTTCTTTTTCCTTCCCATTCTGACGACGTGACCATCTGAGGTTATGACCGTACAGGAACCAACGGAATGGCATAAAACAAAATTCTATTGTATTTATGTTTTCAACCACAGGGAAGTTTGAGAGGGTGTTAAGAAAGGTATTAACGGCTTTCCTCGATGACCCCTGAAGTGCATGAAGCGAAAATTCTTATACCAGCCCACATTCGAACTCTTTTTTAGGACCGGGAACTTGACACACTAAGCCCAATCACAGAAAGGACACAGATGACCCGCGAAGGCCACTTCAAGACCTATTTTGTTGCATGCTGAACCTTGGAAAAGGGCTATCACGAAGGACGTCACACAATGTCGAACCTTGCAAAGCCTTCTCTCCCTCCCCTCCCCCACCCACGTCGACGCGACCCTAAAATACTGACCTTTTTCGGTTAAAACCAAATTTTAGAAAACGGATTAGACCTACTTTTATGGGTTTGTATCGGTTTAAACCGAACACTCCGAACCCTAATCATAATGTAACACTGAAAAATGATGAAACATTCAAGTCGTGCTAGTCTCAGGTGTTATATTATGATTAAGTATCTCCAGCTCGCCGGCCCGCAAATCCCTATTTTTAGACTGAATATATGTGCATCCTTAGTTCTTTTATCTCGTAACTCAGGTGCACCTCGTTAAACACAAAATATATGTTGTCTAGGTTTCATACATGTGCTATTAGAATATCCATAATAACTACTTTTTTGTGTGTGTAGCAACTAGGAGTGAGGAAAAGATTACATTTGCTAATGCTGTTGACAATGCAAGAGCAATTTATTCTGCAACAATAGTATCGCCTTTTTGATTTAATATTGTAAGCATCTGACAATGTCATATTGTTCACTGCACTGGGAACCCCAGTCGAATGCCACGGGCTCTTGAATAATTATAGAATTTCGCCGTTCATGCCACATGCAGGACTATGATGCATGTCCCTATGGAGACCATGGGCCCTAGCCTGGACACTTCGTGAAAAAGTCGGCGAGAAAAACGGTGCTGTGCAGGTTCTGAGTGGCCGTCTCCAGGATCGAGCGCTGCGGCGGCCAGTCACGGCCACCGAATTTCTCGTCGCCTTTTTCGACAAGTTTCGAGATTAGGGCACCAGAAAAGAAGACCCACCCGATGATAATGCAATTAAATACAAAGTTGCACGCGAGCTGGACAAGAATAACGAAAATAATTCCTGGAGAAGTGGAACAAGGGGGACATAGGACAAACAGAAATCACCCGACACAGCTTGTTGACTGGTGCTCAAGCGAAATGATCCGCCTGGTCCTGGTATTGAACCAGGGACTCCTCCATTTCCAGTCTAGCGTTCTTCCAACTCAACTAACCAGCAGTTTGAGGTCCATGGTTTGATATCAGGATCAGACGGAGTTTTTCGGTCGCGCGCCTGTCACCTAGCTTTGTTTGGAAATTTGTGTTTGTACTTTGTCCCTCCTCGTGTGGATTACTGTCGTCACGCCTTTGGACTTGTTTCGGTTCATTTTTCGTCTGGCTACAAAGGGACTATAGTTGTACAATTCTGGTCGTGGTAAAACGTTATGCATAAACAGCTCTCTATCTACAGTAACGACTAGGCCTCTGTAGTACGTTACTGCGAATATAACTTCCCCGAATAAAACATTTGCAAATGTGTTTCTATCAACTTCCTAGAAAATCATTTCTGTAGATATTTTCCGAAGAAATTCTGCATACATATCTTCAGCCGATCTAAAAAGTCACAAGGTATGTGGAGAGCAAGTATCCGTTCTTGCGAAGAGGTTGCGGTTACGTGAGGGCATAGAGTTAGTATAATGCGCGCTAGAGGTTCAAGTAGCGCTAGTGTGCTGACGCAAATTGAGGCAGACAGCAACCAGTCGAAAATTGACTTCCGGTAATGCATTTTTATGGGAAAAAGTGAGTGCATTTTCTCCCTGCGCTCGGTGATAAGAGCAAATATCCTAAAGAATTTGTACGTGCTAGGTAGCTTCAAACATTTCTCAGTCAGGCCGACGAAATGATTGGTCAGTTACGGCATTTTCTTTCCAATTCATCGCATTAAAAACGGTGCTAAAAGGGGTTCGTACGTGTACTTTTCTGCACTGTCGGACACTGTTAGCACGAACACGACTTCGGCACTTTTCAGCATGTGGGATATACGTGCCAACTGAACGAAGGACGTCTGGAAACCAAGGGAGACGGCAAGAACTACGCAGTAACACTAGATCAGTAACTACCCGTGCACGTGCGATCAAAATAAATTAAAGGCCGCGTAATATATTCTGATTTTAAATAAGTAAATAAGTACTGCTTTACTATTTCTGCTTTGTGCGAAGATACTCGTTGTACGTTCAAAATATTACCCTCACGCTCGAAGTCTTTGAGAACAAGTGCCCGATAAAAGCTGCCCGGCAGAGAAAACAACACGAAGATGCACCTTTCATAGCCCACGTAGTTTATTGTTTACCTTTTGAATGCTTTTATCCGCTTATGCACGACGGGGTCATTTTCATATAGCGACAGGACTGGCATATTAGCGATAGATAAGCGTCACCGGAATGCTGGCGAACCTTGAACACACTCTATATTCTTTTCGATTGTAATTTGGCTTTGAATCGTCGCTTGTTTTTACACACCTGCTGTGGAACACATATTTGGGACTGAAATGTAGCAAAGCAATTACACTCTTACAATGTCAATCAAGGTACATACTATTCGGTACGACCCAAATAACCAAACTTCCGTGCTATTTTTCGGCGAAGAGACAAAATGTACGCGCGCGTTCCTATAGGAATGCACAGGAGCACCACACAAGTAGACTGGATGCTGTATGCTTCAATTTGCGTCACGGAAGTCGCATAGACACTAGCGCCAGTTGAACCTCTAGCGTACATTATAATAACTCTATGCGTCAGGACAGCGAGCTCTGATTGGCTGTGATTAGAAGGGTGCTGTCTAGACTTCAAGACAGCCAGCATTGAGGTCTACCCACTATTCTTTCCTTCAGAGCCAGTAAGAGCTCGAAGTTCTGACGTCATCGCAACCTCTGCCAAAAAGCAAGCGAACCGCGAAGTTCTAGCAGACGATCTCCAGACGAATGTTCACTCCGCATAGATATGGAACACCTGCACATTCCCTGTTCGCCTGTCTAAAATACATACCATGAGGAATCGGAGCGCCAACACCAAATTTACTGAAAACTGGGTGAATCTAGACGTGGGCGCTTGTCCGGTGAAATCGGGCGCTTAACGAATATTTTACAAAATTCCAACGTTTTTTTTATGTTAATAGTGGGCACTTGAACGAAGTGTGCGCCGCCGCAGTATTTTACGGCATGTATATTTATAGCTGTAGATATCCTCACAAGCGCTGCTTTTTTAACGTGATCGACGTAGTCATAGCATGTGATCATTACTGGACTCTAATTTGTTATATTCTTTTACTTCTCAGCTTCTACTTTGTCATCTCTGAGCCCGTAGCAGGACCCCATTGGCAGGTGAAGGCAAAGAGACCTCAATGTTATCGAATAGTAAGTAAACAAAACATGTCAGGTTCCCTGAAATTGTTCTGATTCCTTCGTCGTAATCAATCTACAATGGGGAACTTGAAAAATTTTTTTTTTAGTGTGTATTCATGACTTTAGTGGGCCTCTATCCCTTTCAAGTACTTAAATTCTATCTCGAGTCTTGCGAGAAACCCCCCCCCCCCCGCCCCCCCCCCCCCCCAATGATAAGAATTTCCCCACGTAAATCTATTTTAAAGCAAAAGAACGCTGCCCGGCTGTATGCCTAATATATATATATATGATGCAATGTCTTATAGTATCTTGTCTGCGTTATCGTAGTAAAATCAATCAGAAATACAGTTAAGATCCCATTAAAAATCGATTCAAGTTTAGTCTGTTCTACCACGCTACGAGCATAATATTGCATTTTGTTAGCCAAAAGAGAAGTACTTGGGCAACGTCAATTGATTTGAATTTTTTTCATTTATTCGAGTACCTCAAAATTCTTTCTCTGTGTTGCGCAATGGAACTTTAGCTCGCGGTACTTTAGAACGAGGTTTAGTGGAAAATACCTTAAACGCCTGAGGAAGTCCGTAAACTGGCACATTTGCCCCGCAATCGCAAATTGCGATTGGGATGGAGAATTGCGCCGCCATTCGAAACTTTCATCGATACCACAGTGTAGAGAATAACGTGCAAAATGATGAACTTTGTAATCGGAGGATGTGAGGCAGCGATGGTTAGATTCTACTTGAGTACCTCAATGGCTGGGATTATAATGTTTGGTGATTTCTCATGATTACACTTAGCTTGCCAGAACACGCTCTCATTTTATTTAATTTCCTCGAATGGCTCAAAGGCATTACATAGAGGGAACAAGAACATAATGCACTTAAATACAACGCGCATTAAACTCAGGCAATTTCCACAAAGGCTTAAATAAACTTCTTGTTTTTTCTTTGACTCATCTACGTACGAACTCAGCTCTTCCTAGTTAAAACGCAGAATGCACAGAGTGCATGAAAGAAAAACAGAAAGATAATGGGACCTTGACTAAGATAAGAAATGCGCAGATGATACTGAGTATTTATATATACAGTGCTCCTACCGCTAAAAATAATACGAAAGTAAGTTTGAACCTTTAGTAAACTGGTCGTTTTTGTTTTGGTAGTTGGCGTTGAGGTATTAAGATGTAGCACAGAAAATACAAGCCGAAGAACCTGGAGAAAATTAGTGCTTTTCCTGCCTTGTTGCCTTTAACGCGGACGCTATCCCTCTGAAGTGCTTGCATTCTCATAAAACGCCCTGAAGGGGTGAAATTGAAACGCGTTTCTTCACATAAGTATGAAGTAAAATACCATTAAATGACGCGGTTGTATCGCCTCGAAAATGTATCTTGATGGCAAGACATTCGAAGGCGCTTGTGTGTCAGTATTGTGGTACCACAACACTATATGAACTATAACTTGAATTCGCGCAAAAATGCACTTAGTCTTGTGCAAGTGAACCACGATCCCAGTCAAACATCACAATTTGATAGAAGAGAAATGGTGCTTTCCCTGAAGGATCTTTTATCAATTTCCCTGTCTGTGCTTTCACCTAAAAGAAAGCTTCCAACGATACTTTCATTAGACAGCCTCTAGGTAAATTTTTATATAGTACTTCCTGAAGTTGTTACCTGCGTGTGGTATATCTGCAATATGTCTTAGACCGAACGACCAAGACTCTCAACTGACACGTTGTGCCCGTGCTTGCTGATTAGGCATTTGATGTGTCACGGCGCCGCCCAAAAAGTCGTTCTTCGGGCATGCTGTGAGCTGAACAACGCCCAAATGTCTAAAAGGCGGCCTGTAAGGGAGTGATGAAGTGACTCTACGCGAGCATCTCAATCGCTGTGTTCGCATATTTTGATGGTTTTCCCTTAATGAAGTCAGCTGGAGAGAGGTGGAACATACCCACTCTCTTCTTTGTGTGTCACATACTCAATCATTAGAGATTAAAACATGAATTAGTGGAATGCACAAATGAACATACAAACAAGAAAACATTGTTATGATATGAAGTCAGCTCACACAGCACACATGTCACAAAGTTTTTCTTTAGTTTTGAAAAGTTCAAATGAAGTTTTTTTTTTGTTTTTTTTTATGATGACAGGAATGTTTTATTATGTCACGGCTAGGACGAACAGTTGTTTCTACTTGCTCACCATCCTAATCTTTTGATTTTTTCGTGCTAACAAATTCTTGAAAATTATTTTGATCGTTCCGAAATTGATCGATTTAGCAACATTTGCGTTATATAAATAAGTACTCTCTATAAAATATATTATTTCGCCATTGTCTAGAATACATGTTTATATCTTGTTACAGACATGCACGAAAGATGAAGAATGCAAAGTAGGGTCCTGCTCATATTGCAACAATGGACTTTGGGGCGACAATACTTGCCGCTAAGAGTAGAGCGGATCAAGTGCCCTCATGTTCTAATGCACGAATAAAAGTTGTATAATATACTGTTGCACGTGTCAAATAATTTAATTAAAGGACTTAGTATCTCATGTTGAAAAAAAATGTACAGCATACTCGGGCCAACTGGAGACACCTCCAGACACTGCACTGCGCCCAGCCATAAAAGCTAGCGGTCGCAGTTCGGACGGATCTTCATATAGAATGTGGGGCGGCCTTGCCTACTGTCGATGATGCCCGTGAACAATTCATCACTCAACTACTAGAAAGAAATTCGCAAAAATGTAGCCTGGAATGACAAACCTCTGGAGGAAAAACGACTCGTCACTCTCACCCTGTTGCTAAGGTTTTTTTAATCGTTCCGAGACAATTAATGATACATATATGTCAACTTTCTCAAGTTTTTGTGATATCAATGATTAAGACCTCTATGATGAAGAAATACTGAGGTGATGTAGTTACATCATCGATTGAAACAAAATTATGACATATAAGAAAACGAAAAACGGCTTTGTTAGATAATGTGGCAATCTTAGTTTCTTTTAAAAATACGTCTGAGATTGATACGATGGTGGGTGAAAAGTTGCCAGTCACATGCTAAAGATGATGTGAAAGATGTACGGACTATATTGGTGTAGGTATATAATATACTTTTTTTGCTTGTAGTAAAATCTTGGTAAAACAAAAACAGGAGTGTGTTAAGTCTACTGTGATGTGTGCCGTTGATGTATTGAGTTTTGACATCTAAACTTAGACTTCTTTACGTGTCGATATTTCAGAAAGAAAGAGAGATATTGGATCTGGAAGCAGCTACATTGGCTGCTAGAGGGTACTGTGAAAATACGGATCCGTTAACTTCGTGTAGCTTCAGTTGCATTAACCAGTATACGGTGACCAGGATCCCAAAGAGATTGCTCATTTAAGCTTGAATTGTGCAAGGGGCTTGTACAGAAGCAGTTAAAATATAAAATATGTAAATAAAGGTTTCATATTGATAAAGCTTAGCGTGAGGTTTAAAATGGTATTAATGCAGGCAAAGTGAATCTTCTATGACGGGAAAGATGTTAGGTGAACTTCTAAGTTCCTGCAAACAAAAACTCTCTGAGAAGGACGATTAAAACGCCATAATGAGGCCTAGATGACACACACGACACCCACACAACTGCAAAGTAGAAAGAGAGAGGTAGAGATAGACTTCTTTTTGGCTGATGGTTTTCAGCATGACGTGTTCAAACGCACATGAACCTCGATGCAAGCGGTACGACAGCATCAGGGCGTGCACCAGACACGGAAAGAGGGCTTGGCATGGTCTTTTGACCAACCAGAAGCCGAAAAGAATCCCCTAGCGGTGGTAGCGAGAAATAGTTCTGATCAAAGGTCTATGTTCGTAAATGGTTTTGATAAGCGCGTAAGAGTGAAGTGTAGTAACTCTTCATGGTTGAAAATAGGGTGCACGTGTTGTTTTGATCATGATCATGCAGAGAGATGTAAGAAACGAATGCGCCGCTCAAGTCTGTTTTGCTCGGACAGAGTGTGACCGCTCGGACGGCAGATTCCCGGCCCTCGGCGCTTGGCGTACGGATTATGTCGATCGTTCTGCTAGTCGCACTCTTCCACCATCATTTTTGGACGAGCGTGATTGAAACATCACGTGTACCATATTTTCAGTCATCGAGAGTTACTCTAATGCAGTTATCAGGTTTGTTTTCTGCGACCACCGCCAGGGTATTATTTCCGGCTTCTGGTTGGTCACATTCGAATTTCTGAAGACGCCCTGGAACCCGCCCAGCCCGCTTTCAGCCAATGGCGCCTCCTCATTTGTCTCCTATACTTTCCAACGAATGGCCAAACACTACATATACGGCTCTGCATCTCCCCTACCCGCAAAAAGAGCGCTCTGGCCGCTGCCATTTTGCGAATCGAGCGATCTCTATCAGCCAGAAATTTCCGGCACCCGCCTGAGCTGTGAAAACCCGGTCAGCGTGACTCCCCACCTGCTTTTTGCATTCGGAGTTCGGCGGCTTTTCTTGGAAGTTTTTATTTTATTCGCCTGTTTAGAATGCTTACCGTTTGTATGTTATCTTCCATTGTGAGAACCAGCGAATACCAGGGCCCGTAGCCCACTCGGCCTTCGCAGGAAACGAACGAAGAGAGCGAACGTCAAGCAGCCCGCGACGCAAGCAGTTCGACGCTCTTGGAGGATTATTTCCGTAGAAATAATCTCCAAAAAGCATTCCGGCTGTGTTCCGGGGTCTTTGCGAAAAATAGCTGATAGGGTCGAGTCCGGGGAATGTGGGCAGAATAGACAAGTTTGTTAATTTGCTTGAAGCTGTGCAAAAAAGGAGCTCTCTTCTACATGTTCCTCAGAACACGCCGGATTCCGTCCGATCGTCATGAAGTGACCATCGACGACACTGTATATTGGATATGCTGTGTTATTTGAGAGCTTTCTCAAATCCTGTTCAGATAACGCGGCACCGTGGGGTACGTACAATATATTTTTTGTTCGGTTGATGAGACTCATTGAATTTTATGTTGTGGGCGGGGAATATTTATGCAGTACGGATATCCTGTGTGGTGAAATATTTTGACCTTTATAGATTGACACGGCTGAGCGTACGGTGCCGTAAAACAATGAACATAAAATGAAACAAACATTCCAGTTGCATTTGTTCTGCCGCGCACGGACTCACCAAAACAGCTTTCATTTCTTTGTTTTTGTCCCCAAAAATAGAGCACTGCTTTCTGAAATACCTCTATAAATTATGTTCGCCACAAAACACAAAATAAAAAAAGAAAACGCGGCAGTTCAGACGCTACCAGCGTCCGAAATTGCGCCTGCGCAGGCTGCCCCAGCCCACTGACGAGAAACTCCTCAGCTCAGCGCAGTCGGGCAACATTGACGTACACTCTCAAAACCAGGGACAGGGACACGCGCTGTAAATCGCTTCGTTCGAGACTGCCGCTGGAAAGGTCTATAGCTTCCTCCGCTTTCATCCCACTGGGGCAAAGCGCGGAACGGCAAGTAGGCATGCCTATCTCTCCAGCTGCTGAGACTGGTCGGTTCTCTAAGCTATTGCACAAGCACAAGCCCCACTGTGCTTTCGTTCCTCTCTCTCCCCATGCAAACGTTGCAAAACCCTACGCAATCAAGGAAGAACACTGCAAGTCCCACTTACGTCTCTGTTTCCATGGAGGGAGACTTGGGCGTTGCTTGGCTATGGCACACAGCGGGGCCGCTTAAACTTCAAGGCTGGAATTTCACACACACAAAATGACGACTGGTCGTATTGATTGAGCACGACTACATCAAGAGTTTAGTCGGATGTTCCGCAAATTCGAAAACCTATTTATAACGGCTGTGGTATTTGCTGCACTAACCATTCAAGGCTTCTGTCGAGAAGGTGCTGGGATGAGGTTGTGGCCTCAAGAAAATCGAATGACCTGTCAAAGTAGAAATGCTTAGCGTGATAGTGGCGAGGCACAAGCACCTGAATCATATACAGTACGGTTGTAATACGTATTCAGGCTTGCTCTTCAGTGCCGTCGACGTCAAGCATAGTCGGCTCGGTACACACAGCTGTGCTGCATATGAAGCTTCGGAGCTGGCGAGAAGAAACAGAAGACGTATAACACAGCGGGGTTTTGTTTTTAGTTGCACCCAATTTTCAAAAAACGGCACTCTCATTAGGTAACTTTTCATATTAAAATTAGTTTGCCTGATTTTGGCGGACACTTTTGATTAACTTTTTAGTTAGTAAATGGAGCCATATAGCTTCAATTAGAAACTTGTTGGGCGTGGTCGAAAACTACTCAGTCGGTCAATTTCAGAATTATTTGGAGGACAGATGAAGCGTGTTGCTGCGCAATAAATTACCACTTGCGATTGAGGCGCGAGCCTGGTGGAGCCGGAAAAGTGGGTGATAAAAACGAACAATCGGGCCGGGCAAGCAACAAATGATTTTGTTTTTTAAACCCCCCCCCCCCCCACCAAAAAAAAAAAAAAAAAAAAAAAAGATGCTCGTGTTTACAATATTTATAAAATTGACCGATATAGTGGTTTTCGATGATACCGATCGCGACTCCAACCACATGCTTTTAGGCCCTCAATCCTCAGCTTTATGCGTTGTCCCCCGCGCGCTCGAAGATTTTGATTCTGATGTGCGAGCTAGCGCGAGACCCTCATCGATCTGGTTAGAATTTAGAACGCTTGGTGCCGTTTAAGGGGTATTCACGCGAGGGAGAAATCCCCTCTACCGATCTGGTTATTTAAGGGATATCCGTGTATTTGTCGCCTAAATACACACGCAAGCTTGCCAAGCCGGTTAGGTAATTGTAAAATGAAAAGTTACCAAATAAAACTGCTTTACATTTTTTAAAATTTGGTTGAACTAAAATTAAACGCCTGGTATGGGGAATCCGGTCGCATTCTAACTTCTGTCAGAGACTGCATGATCTCAGATATTTTACGTTTAGTGGAGCCATCTAGTTTGTCTCCTATTTGAAAAAAACGAACGTCAATGATCAGCACGAAGTACCTTTGTTGATCAGCTCCTCTTCGTTTCCGTCGATCATGTGCAGCCTTCGAGAGTTTGTTTGTACTCGCTTTCCTTCGCCTACTGAGCGCAGGTTTTATCTTTGCCATGTTGTTGTCTATCACTGAAATATAAAATTGAAGTCAATAAGTCAATAAAATCTTCTATAATCTTCAAAATCATACATTACTGTTATGTTATTCTGCCCCCTTTCAAGAATTGCTAAAATGCTTCCATGATAGGACGATCATCGATATTCTCGCACAATATTGTTAAATACACGTCAGCATGCACGTAGGCAGGAAAAGGAGGTTGGGGGGGAGGGGGGCAGTGCTAAGGCCTCATCGCCCAACACCGCCTAGAAGGAAGATCGCGGCCACTGACTGGGCTCGATTGCTGCACCAGCGTTCGGCTGGGACTCGTGCCAACTGGGTGAGAGAGCTGCAGCCCGCATCTCCCACCACCACAACCGTGGTCAGACTTACTTCTAGGCGACA